GGTCACACAGTCATGGTCAAGTCAAGACCCTGACAAAATATGTAAATATGTTTCATATTTTCATATTTTGTCAAGCTTATGAAAATTTTATTTTATTTATTGTTTACATTTGTCAAATTATCTATAGCAAATGTCAAAATGACATGACATGACAAACCTTGGCAGTCTTGCTTCCTTGATATTGGCAGCAACTTATGGTCTCTTTCCCACATTAGGGTTATTATCCAAATAATTTACCCCCTAAGTTTAATAGCGTGAAAATATATGGGCTAAAGCGTGACGTAAGTGTAGGGCATTTTATTAAAAAAATACTGTAATTGCTAACATCTTAGGTAACAAAGAAGTGTGTGTTTACGCTTTATTATAATAGTATAGATTTCATCGCAGAGGCATCTCGTATAACGCTTTTGTGATATTGATATTCAAGATAAATTAGTGTTGTGCTTACATAACATCTATATTTGGAAGTATATTAAAGGTAATAAACACATACTTGTTATTAGTTGTTTAGTAATACCTATTATTAAAAAAATCGTCATGAATATGCAATTGAAAATGCTTTTAAATGACCTGAAATCTAGCTTATCCGTGACAGCAAGCGTAATCCTGACCAATGTTATTGCAACAAATTGTCCTGCCCCCCTGCCCCTTTGCTCCGCCGCCGCCCCACTGCCTCGCTGCACTGCGTAATCCTCTTTAATCCATAGAATTACAATTTTAAGCATCGCGTAAGCCCCCAACGCATTAAAAAGGTCACATGATTTTTTTTATTTTTCTGTCATTTTGACTCAAAAGTAGTTGAGAAGCTAAATCCAACCAATATAGAAACTAACCTCCGCATATTTCATACTCAAATTCATTTTAACCGACTAAACTCATCGGCAATTGGTTAACAATAGCCGTAAGTTACAAGCTATTTGCACTCGGAACACGATTATCGATGCACCGAAATATAGCAGAGAAATTAAATTCCAGTTTATCTATTCTGGCTATTAATAAAACGCACAGTGGACGTTGCGACTCGTGTGCTGGAACGAATGCTGTATTCTACGTTTTATTTAACATACAAAAACATGATATTTTTGAAATATTTGTATGTAACTACCAACTTTTACATTATAATATGTGATGCATTTCGCTTATTATGCAGTTATATTTAAGATTAGTATTAACAAGCATTATATATAAGTTTACAGTGTATATGCACCTTAGAAAAAAAAAAAGAAATACATCCCTTCAATTAGGCAAGTTTACGGCGCCATTAATTCAGGATCGGGCAAAGTGAAAGTTTCCGTGTCGGCTCAGATCGGTAACGTCGTCGATTCTCAAGTGACCGCTGACCTGCGTGCTTGCCTGTGTTCGTGCGCGCGACGCATTCGCCCACAAATCTCGCCCCAGATCTCGATCGCTTTCCAAATGTTTCCGCAGACAATGAAATGTTCGGCCGCGCGCGATAACTAAAACGTTACTACCCTTTAATGATTGCCTTCAAGATTATACACAAACGAATGTTTTTTTTTTTCTAGAAAATCACAAGTAATAGTAACTTTCTTTTCAAATAAAGTGACCACTGCGATAAGCTTCGACTTTCAGAAGTAAAAATAATATGACTTCTGGTTTAAGTCTCATTGATAATTCTAAAGAATTGTATCATCAGCATCATCATCATCATCCTCCTTATCCTACTCCCGTCGGCACAACAGGTTTTTGTCCTCCAAATAACTCTATCATACGTCATCTCAGTCATCACTCCCTTTTTGATCATGTCACCTTTCACGCAATCTATCCATCTCTTTCTAGGTCTACCTCTACCGGTGTACCCTTCCACACTCATAACAGACGTTCTCCTTGTAACATGCGATTCATCCCTCCTCATAACATGCCCATACCAATCTATATTAATTATAATAATTGTATCTTTTGCTTCATATAGAATCTGGCCTCATGTATTAAAGTTGTAATTCAATTTAATGATAAATTACTTAGCAACCTAAAATAATTTTACTATCATAGTGGAATACATAGCAGGGACTATGAGAGTTTAATATCTGAAAGCCTAATATGTTATGCATGTCGCGTTACTCGGAGCGAGACGCGGCGACGGCGGCGCGCGGAGCATGCACGGAATTACGCTAATGGCGGCCCACTGTACCGCGTGACGTCACAGCTTGCACCCCGTCTGTGCTGGCTAAGCTCCTGGTATTCAATTACTGGCCACTGCTGTCATCTACGGAAATTTCTTTTGAATGCAGCATAATTCTTTTGAAGATATTCTTTCTGTAATCGTTTAGGCGATCGTTTTATTTATCGTGAAAGTAGGAGGAATTTAAATACATTTATAATTAATTATAACAATCTCAATAAAATTTTGTGTAAATTGTTTCAAAGTCACTGTTACTTTCAAAATAAAATTCTTAAATATCTTTGATAACAAACCCTCCTTAAAGTATCTTCCATTTCCATGGTTTTGACAAAGTGTAAGGAACACTTTAACATTATCCTTTGTTTGTGAATCGTCGTCGGGACGCGAACCTCCTCAGTCATATTTGCCACTAAAAAGCCTTTGTTTTTCCACCGACGAGACCCAGAATTTCACAACAAAGACAAGAAGTGTTTGCTTAGGACTTGTTTATACTCGCCCGTTGTTTTCTTGGCTGCGACATGAGCACACCTCCGCTCCATCACGGACGCAACAAGAATTACTAGAATAATCCCATTCTATTTTATACACTTTCACTTGTAACATTTTCTTTGTTAACGCTTTGAATTCAACTCCTTTGTGCAAACTCGATGGCTCTGGGAGCCTCCTTTGTATTTACTTAACATAAAACTTTACATTTCGCCCAACGAATAATATTTCATGAATCATGCAATGATAAAGATAATCCAAGTTTTCTTTTACTCATCAAATTACTACATTCAACTGCAATATTCTATGTCGATGTCCGACACACCGGTTCCTAAGGTGGTGAACAGCGGCGGCACGGCGACTATGAACTGTACGTGGAGCGGGTGGCCGGCGCCGCGGTTGGAGTGGCTGCACGATGGGACACCGGTGCGCGCGGGCGCGGCGGGCCGCCTGCGCGTGCTGGTGGGCGGCGCGCAGCTGGTCGTTCCCGCCGTGCGCCGCGCCGACCAAGGCGTCTACCAGTGCGTGGCGCGCAGCGAGCGCGATTCCGCACAGGCCAGTGCCGAGCTGCGACTCGGAGGTTCACAATATTTTATTGGACCAAAATTTTCTGTGTTTACAATAGGCAAGTAAGCAACTGCAACTTATATTTGCATTCAGACACAGCACCGGAGTTGCAGTACACGTTCATCGAGCAGGTGTTGCGGCCGGGCCAGGTAGTCACCCTCAAATGCTCCGCCACTGGCGCGCCGCCGCCGCACTTCACCTGGCTGCTCGACGGACAGCAGCTCAACACCATGAGCCGAGGACACAGGTGATAACAAACATTCTACTCCTTTTCATTTTGAGATATCATGCTGAATTTATTCCGTCATTTGTTTCAACAACTATAAAAACAGATGCAATAAAATCAATACGATTTCTAGAGAAATGAGTGTCGTTCCAGATACAGTGTTGAACAATTCGCGACGAAGACCAACGACGTGGTGAGCTACTTGAACATATCGTCGGTGCGCTCAGAAGACGGCGGCCTCTACACTTGCCGGGCGGCCAACTCCCTCGGGGACGTGTCCCACACCTCCAGACTGAATATATACGGTGCGATTCTAAAAGCTTGTTGGACATTATCCAAATTAACTTGCTACTTCTTATATCAGCTGACGAATTAATACCTAATATATTCCTAATAATACCTATGCATAACTAAGTATGTGACGGAGTAATAACCAATTATTCCGCACAAGAGCACAACATTCTTAAGTTTAGATACTTCCAGGGCCGCCGTACGTGAGATCGATCGGGCCCATTCGAGCGGTGGCGGGCCGGGAGCTCGTATTGTACTGTCCCTATTCAGGCTATCCAATCAGGTGAGCACTTAAATGCGCTCCGTCCGGCGCCTAATTGAGGTACAATCGACTAATAATATTTCTGAAGTATATTTTTCAGAATGGTTTTCGCGGCAATTATCTTACGTTCGCTTTCTGTTGTTAATAGTGTTGTCCACGATGATGAGTGAAATATTTTGTTAGTTCTGTGAAGTGGGAGCGAGACGGCAGTCAGGTAGAGTGGGACGGCAATGCGGAAGGCGCGTTGCGTTTGGCGCGCGTCGAGCCCTCGCACGCCGGCGCCTACGCGTGCGCGGTCTCTGGCCCACACGGCGAGATCGCGCGCCGGGAGCTGCAGCTCGTCGTCAGCAGTAAGCTAACAAACTTAAACCATCGCACAACTATGTAGACAGTAGAATATATTAAAGCGTTTAAACCAATACCAGCGTTCTCTTAGCCTCGACTACTAATGTACAGATCCTCCTGAGATCGAGCCGTTCTCTTTCTCCGCCAACTTGCAAGAAGGCAAGAGAGCGCAGGTGAGCTGCAGTGTGACGTCGGGCGACATGCCCGTGCACTTCACCTGGCTCAAGGACAACACCCCCATTCCTTCCACTCTGCAGGTTGGTACTACACATCAATTTACCAAGGTCATTTGCTCGTTTAAAGATTTGTCAACTCTTTATTGAATATTGATCAACAGAAGATAATGATGGTATCTTTGCAAATCCCTGTGGGTTAATACATTAAAAAAAAATTATAGTAACTAGGTACCTATTTTGGTCTATGCTGTCCAAAAATTATAGAATAGATTGGCAAATGAAAGAGAATTGAACAGAATTCATTGTATAGGTGGAAGAGCGAGGTGCTGATTTTTTCAGCAATCTTGTGTTCAAGGAAGTGTCTGCCCGCCACAGCGGTCTTTACACGTGTGTGGCCTCCAATACCGCTGCTAAAGTTAACTATACCGCAGAACTGGTAGTTAAAGGTAACCTCGAGATACTACGCACCATCGCACAGAGCACCTTTTTGTTTTCGGGGAAAACTTAACAAACGCACAGAGCACCTAGCGCGGCACGCTTGCACCCCGCCCCGCCCCGCACATAATCTCACTTTGTTTATTGGCGAAATTTTTGAGCTTGCAAACCACTTTCTTCTCATTTCCTCAATAAAGAGTGCTTCAGTGATGATATCGCTGAATGAAGGCGTACAAATCTGATCACAGATTTTTATGGTTTAATGCTAATTTTTTATTTAAATTCCCTTCGTGATTCGTGATCATTGTTTCGGATTGCTTTACACGAGTTTTTGATTAGCTGGTTTGTAATAGATTTAACATCTATTGTGAATACTAATGCTTCGAAAATTCACATTTTAAAAATAAAAACTTCAATTACCTTCAAACTGAATAGAAATATTTCAACACTAAAAGGAGTTGGTACATTTCGCTTTTTGAATTGTAAACTGTGTATCGTTTTTGTTCTGCACCTCGTTGGATTTACAGATGGCTCTGAGGAGACGGTAATTGTAATTCATTAATACAATTTCATTTTAAATGTTTTCAATCCAAAATTAACTATTCGATTTGATTAAAATTACAAATATTTAAATGCCGCCCTATGACTACAATAGATTCTGAAATTATACAGGTTCTAGATTTAAATTCGTTCAATTCGCTTGTTACAATATTCAATTATATTTAGATTTCATGAAATATTTAGCATACGACGTTTTATCCGAATCTTCGGTTTATAATATCTTAAATATCAAAGTTGTTTTTATTTGTGACTGTAACATGCTGCCGAGGAAGGTAAGACAAGACACATAGTAACCATTTGTTTACGCAAATCGTACTCAATTATGGCAATTTTCCTAACGTTTCAAAATCGATTTCATGTTGACGCATTTGGAATATAACTTCTTACTATAGCTAATATCAATATTCTTATAATGCACGCTGCAGTGTCACCCAAGTGGGTGAGGGAACCAAGAGACGAGGCAGTGCTGGCGGGGGAGCCGTTAGCGCTGCACTGCCAGGCCACAGGCTCCCCGCCACCTCAACTCACCTGGCTCAAGCAGAGAGGTGAGTTGTTTGTAGAAAAAACGAAATTGTTACTGAACCCGAGAAAACTGGAGTCCTGTGTTGCTTGCAGTCGGATCCCCCGCGGAATTTGTGCCGCTGGTGAACCTCGGCGGACGTCTGCAGTTCCTGGGCAACGGCTCGCTGTGGCTGGAAGGGGCATTGCCCTATGACGAGGGTCACTACATGTGCCGCGCTGAGAACGGCGTCGGTTCGCCCCTCACCAAAACTATATTTGTCGCCATCAATGGTATGTTTGATAATTATCTTGAAAAATTGAAGAAAGAATACATTTCGTACTTTTTGAATTTCCCTCTATCCGTGAATTTTCTGAGCATCTCATAAGTTTTTGTCACTTCAAATAGGCATAAGTAAAATAGAAAGTAACTACGTAGATGAAAGTAATCATTGTATTGTTCAAGAAACGTAAGTAAATTTCAAGTGAGTAGAATTCATGGCTAATAAAGCTTTCTGAGCCAATTCGCAGAATGGCGAGCAGCGAATGGCGAGCGTTAAATCGCACAGAAATACTCAAGTGTCGCGCGTAAAAACCTGCGTAAAATGTCAAACGCAATTTATTCTACCGCGAGCTTATTTCAGTTGAAGATAGTCGTCTTGCTCCACTTTGTCTTCAATTCGTTGAAATGTCTTTTTATGTCTTATTGTATATTTTACTTTTAAAACAAACTTGCTCAAGAAGGTAGTGAGATCCTAAGATTCAAAACAACACTATCGCGTTATTTCGCGGTGAATGTTTAAAAAATTAATGCCAATGCTATTTTTTAAGAACAATAGAAAAGGAAATATCGATGTGAGTCTTTAGATCATCCAACAGCTAAACTAGACCATTGATGTGTGTGTGTGGCAGAGCCGGCGCGGTTCGAGCTGACGTCGCACAATGTGTCGGCGCGGCGCGACGCGGCCGCCACACTGACATGCGAGGCGCGGGGGGACGCGCCGCTGCGGCTTACCTGGACACGCGGCCCGCGCCCACTGGACCTAACTACATACAGGTGACTTGTATTTCGATTTATATAAAAGCTAACAAAAACATGTTACATATGACAATTAAGATATGTTGCTTAACGTTTTCAGGCTTAGCATATCGGAGGCAAAGACCGACAGCGGCTTGCGGTCGCAACTGTACATCAGCCGCGCGGAGCGGCAGGACTCCGGCGTCTATAAGTGCCAGGCAGTCAACGCCTTCGGACATAGCGACCACTACATTTACCTTTCCGTCCAAGGTAACGCTTAAAATCAAATTTTTGGAGTAGGTAATAATAATTTAGTTACGAATAAATATTATATCCTGAGTAAAACTTGTAGATTTTGTCGGAAAAAATCTGATGTCTTCATTAAGACAGAAATGACCGTTCAGTAAATATGTGGCGATATGTCGTGGACAGAGAAGCCCGAGACGCCGCAGTCGCTATCAGTGACGGAGATCCTGAGCCGCGCGGTACGGCTGGCTTGGAGCCAGGGCTTCGATGGCAACTCCCCGCTGCAGGCCTACACCGTGCAGCACTGTGCGCTCTCCGTCCGCGCCGCGCACTGGGACACCGCCACCACGCTCAACGTCTCCGTCCACGACGCCCACGCCGCCCACATCGCCCACATGCCCCACGTTGGGAACGCACCGCACTCACATATCGTGTAAGTGTTTGCATTATAAAACAATCAATCCATCTTTTACTTTTCAAAGCCAACTTTGGAAAAAAGATCTATCAATTTATATTTCTCTTTGGCGTTATTAAAAAAATTGATGTTTATATTTTTTTAGACTTACTAAAAAAGGCGACATTCACTACGAGGCTCTGTTGGGCAACCTCAAACCTCACACCGCTTACATGATCCGCATCGCCGCAATCAATGAGATCGACCGCAGCGCGTACACGGAACCTGTCGTTGTTAAGACTCAAGAAGAAGGTATACCTGAGTTTACATTCTCCAAACATTGTATCACATACTAGGACCAGATGGTACCTAAAATTAGCTGGTAGTCTATGGCATAGCTTTGATAACCATGATGTACATGTGTTGCCAGCGCCGTCGGAGGCGCCGAGTAACTTGCAGGTGACGGCGGGTGGGCCCGGCGAGCTGCACGTGGCGTGGCGGGCGCCGGCACGCGACGCCTGGCACGGCGACCTGCTTGGCTACTCCGTCACATGCACCGAGCTGGGGCCGGCGGGGTCGCCCGACCTGCCCGCCCTGCCCGCGCTGCCCGCCTCGCCCGCACTCGCCGGCAACGCCTCCCGGTGTGTCCCGCACTACTGCTTATTACTTTTATACTCGTAATATCTAAAAAGTATAACGAAAGGGATTATCATGTTGTCGCTGTTTTGTCGTATTAAATAAATAATCAAATGGCTATTCAGGACTCTGACAGTGAACGGGTGGTCCGCCACTGAGTTGAGTCTGTCAGCCCTGAAGAAGTTCACGCGGTACGAGGTGCGCGTGCGAGCCTTCAACGGTGTGGCGGCCGGCCCGGCCTCCGCTCCGGTCACTGCCACTACGCTAGAAGGAGGTAGAACAACTCGATTTTTTGAGATTGCTAAACGGTTTTAAAATATTAAATTGTAAATTCATCCTCATCATTATTGTATGACATTAGTAGCTATGACATATGAATGAAAAATCACTAATTGAATGAAAAATATTCAGTTCCAGAGTCGCCACCGACGCGCGTGTCGTGCTCGGCGCTGTCATCGTCCAGCATAAAGGTGTCGTGGAGTCCGCCACCTCACGAGCACCGCGGCGGGATCATACAGGGCTACAAGGTCATCTACGTACCCCTCACCATAAATCATGGTATGACAAAATGCATCGTAATATTACATCCTATATTTAGTCTCCATCTCATATTTTACTTATTATTAAAAACTGTGTGCATTTTGATTGCAGCGGACGTGGCGGAGATCAAGCGCGTAACGACGACAGACACGTACCTGCACACGCTGCACAAGTACACCAACTACTCGATCCAGGTGCTGGCTTTCACCGGCGCCGGCGACGGCAAGCGCAGTGCTCCCGCCTACTGCATCACCGAGGAGGACGGTCAGATATACCCTTAGTGAGCTAACTCTGCGATAGTCGGCTACTAGTTACTGATCACGTTCATAAATAAATAGTAGCACGAATTAGGATTTCCGACAGTACCAAATTTTCTAAAGGTAGCTAATTTCATTCAAAACTTGTATTTGACTTTAGTTCCCTCGGCGCCGGAAAAGATAAAGGCGCTGGCGTACTCCAGCGACTCGGTCCTGGTCAGCTGGCTGCCACCGCTGCATCCCAACGGCGTCATATCGCACTACACCGTCTACTTCAGGGAGGCGGGCAGGTATGTTTTTAATATTTTAGCAATTAAAGTGCCATTATTTAGTTTTATTCTCCGACTTTGATCTGAAAATATGACAAACTTAACCGCAGCTATTTTTCTAGGCTGGGGAAGCACTCCAGCTTCACGGTGTCGGCGGACAAGAACCCCGAACTGGAGCTAATGTTCCAGGTGCGCAATCTGCTCGAGAGCCAGATGTACGAGTTCTGGGTGTCGGCCACCACGGGCTCCGGCGAGGGCGAGTCCACGCACGTTGTGGGTCTGGGCCCGAGCTCCCGAAGTAAGTTGTCATCATCTCGGACCCTATATAAAAATAGAAGTCGTCGTCGAGTAAATCATTAATGAAACCCCGTGCGACGCAGTCCCGGCGCGCATCGCGTCGTTCGGCGGGCGGCGGGCGGTGCGCGCGGGGCACGCCACGCTGCTGGCCTGCACGTGCGTGGGCGTGCCGGCGCCGCGCTCGCGCTGGGCGCACGGGCGCGCGCCTGTCACGCACCACGCCTTCTACCAGGTCACCCGCGCCGGACATCTGCACATTCGTGGTGACTAGCTGCAGCCTACTACTACTAGCTCTGTAATAAAGCTAGCTCAACTATTAGGTCAAAATTATTTTTTGAAAACATGATCAAACTATGCAGAGGTAAACGAGCAGTCTTCGGGCAACTTCTCGTGTACGGCCAGCAATAGCATCGGCGAGGACACGGTGGTGTATGCGGTGGTATCAGTGGCGCCGCCCGCTGCGCCGCTGCTCTCGCTGCAGTACACCACGGCCAGCACCGTGCGCCTGCACTGGCGCTTGCCAGCCGACAACCCGCATCCGGTCCTGGGTAATTCACCGTTTTTTCAAATTATTTCGATTTTTCCTAAACCGATGATGTCCACCTTGTTATTGCTGGATTTTTAAAAATGTAGATGTAATGAATTTCCTTGAAATGCTATACGTATATTTGTAACTCCAAAACTACAGGCTACGTTTTACACTACAAGCGAGCGTCGGAGAGCGAGTGGCACAGCGTGGAGCTGTCGCCCGAGCTGAGCTCCTACACCATGGACATGCTGAGATGCGGCACCACTTACAACGCCAGGATACAGGCACAGAACAAGATCTCCCTTGGCCCGCCTAGCGAGATACTCACAGCCACTACGCGAGGGGGTCGTAAGTACAACAACAGTAGAATAGAACGATAACAACATTAATCCTTTCGTTAATAAATTGACTGAGCAATCGTTGTTGAAAAAAATGCTGGTGGCAAAAATGTTGAACTCTATTTTTTTGGAATCAGTTCCGAAGCCGCCGAAGCCGGAGGAGCACGTGCACATGAACTCGTCGGCAATCAAGATCAACTTTTACGCGTGGCGCGACGGCGGCTGCCCCATCCTCGGCTTCCGCCTCGCGTACCGGCGCCTCGGCGACGACCACTGGATAAAGGTTAGCCGGAACTTAATTTGGACACCATCCGTCGATGTTCGGAATCAAAGAAAAGGTATCTTCACATTATTTAACGTCACAATTAGGTGGGTGAGAGTCTGAGCGCAGCGAACTACGTGATCGGCGCGCTGTCGCCGGCCACGTGGTACGAAGTACTGGTAGAGGCGCGCAACGATGCTGGCGCCGAGCGTGTGCTGCTGCTCGCCGACACGCACACGCTCGCTGGAGGTGAGGCGCACAGACTCAGCAGGGGAACTGCTTACTGAATTAATTCATGAGTACACCGGACATGAGCATGGACGCAGCACAAATTTGTTATCTCCCATCTGATTAATAATATTTTTCCATATATGGTGTGTCAGGGCGCATCCCGCCGCCGGCGCCGGCGCCCCCCGCGGCGGGTGGCGCACGCACGGCCTCGCTGCGCACGGTGCTGGTGTCGTGCGCCGCCAGCGCGCTCGTCATCGCGCTCGCGCTCGCCGCCCTGCTCTGCCTGCTGCACGGCAAGCGAAGGTCTGTTCGCGGCGGTGTTGGCTCACTCTAGTTTGACGCAGTGCACACCGCTCTTATTAATCAAATGTCGAAACTTCATTACAGATTTTTCTGCCTTTCGAGCGACCACTATTTGCGCAACAACAGGAAGCTAAGCGAAAGCAACGAAGCCGAAAGAGAAAAGCTAAGAGAGGGACAAAAACTATACTCTTCTTCTTCCATCAACGGAAACGAGAAGTCGAACGATGACTCGTCAGGTGAGATATTCGTTTGATTTTTTTATGTTATAAAACCTTTGGGTAACAGGATAAATTACATTTCTTGTCTATTTAGACATGTGATGATCCCTCAAATGTTTTGTTTTTTGTTTATTAGCGGAGTTGTACGAGATAAGTCCGTACGCGACGTTCGGTGGCGGCGTGGGGGGAGGCGCGGGGGGCGGGGCGGCGGCGCACTCGCTGCAGTTCCGCACGTTGGCGCGCCGCGACGACGACGCCGCGCCGCCGCACCGCCGCCGCCGCCGTTGTGACCACTACAGATACGGTAACTGCACGCCCCTGCACTGCTTCGCCTGACAAGAGCGGCACCCACTCGCCGGCACCTAACAGGGGTCGGTAGAGAATCTTGAATAAGTTATTGTATAATGTTACAGATGAATCGAGTCTCTCAAACCGGTCCACGGTGGAGGCTCGCCACCGCATGCGGGCGGCGTGCGCTGGCCCAGGCAGCGCAGGGCCCGGCGGCGCCACGCCGGCGGGCTGGCGGGAGCGGTCCGACTCCGACGACTATAGTGACAGCGCCGCCAACACTACCACCAAAGGTATCGCTATCAGTAGTTTTTGAAAAATTTTCTATTCTTTGACTCCTTTAATATACCAGTGTAATCCACGCATAAAACAACATTTGTTTGTGTGCATTAGGTTCGGGCGGCAGCGGCGGCGGCAGCGCGTACGGTAGCGGGCGACGCACCGCCAGCAGGTAGACCAGGTACCTTGTCCCCGCCCCGCCCCGCCCGCGCACACCCGCACCACACCCCACCCACCCAGACCACCCCGCCAGCACTCGCTACACGCCGTAGTGACCACTATACGACTTTAAACTCGTTCTTAAATATGATAAATTGTCTAGAATATCTACGACTGAAATGATAAAATAGCCCATAAATGAGCAAATCTGTAAAGAAGAAAGTCGCATATGGTCCCGATTACCTTTTAATGTTTACTGTAACACTTCCAGGATTATCTACATCAACTACTATTAACTATATCTCACTGTCTGTCCTTTTGTATCTAACGAGTCCTGTATAGCACGTATATCTATATCCTGAACTTTAGAACAATTTGATTTAAATAACTCTCACTGTAGAAACTTCCTGTGTACTAAACGTTTATTTTGTTACTTTTTTAGATTTCCTCCTCAAGTAGAAACCCCAAACACTTGGCTTATTTGAAGCACGCCACCGCGCTTCGTCCACTACTGCATGGGTTCCGTAGAGTGTTAATTGCAATAGTGTTGTCTCTGTCTGGCAGCGGGGGGCAGAACGGGAGCGACGGCCTCTCTGGCAGCTTCGCCCCTGTTCCTCCCGATATATCTTCATTAATTGACAAGTAAGTTACTACGCCTTACTATTCAATTCCGTTTAAATATTTTGTACTTACAAAGATTTGTTTTTTAATTCCAGATATCAACAAAGAAAAGAACAGGAACGTAGGGAATGTACTATCCATGTATAAAAGTGCCACGGTCCAAAGATGTTTTTATACCGAACTGAAGAACCATTTTACATGGCCTCTCTTGTGTTCACGTCTGTATTTTAAGAAAAAACTTTTTAAGTAAAAGTGTATAAATGTGTATAGAATTTATCTAAAAACTTGACCAGTAATAGTAAAAAGTTTAATCGACATCGTTTGTTGCCAAGAACTGTTTCGTATTGAATATGTTTGATTCTACAAATGCGATTCTCATGAACAAATACAACACACTCGCACGATAAATATCACAATTTTTTATTTCGATGGACCGTGGATGAGATTTCGAAAATAGCTACTGCCAATTCAATTAGAAAGAAATTAAAAGAATATGAAGCGTAAGGACAAAAGAGTTAAATGCTGAGCAGAAGAAACAAAGCAAATAAGCCAGACTTTTTTGACTAATGTAACTTTTTAAAACTGCCATTGTCTAAAGCAAATCAATCACATCTGTGGACATTCTGGAGGAAATTTTCAAAACTTAAACTGCGATATAAGTGAAAACTAAAATGGCTTAATGATTTATGTGATGCCGCGAACAAACCCGCATCGATGATGTTAGAAAAATATTGTTATATAGTTATTTGAATATTGTGATTTATTTTAATGCTGTTAACTCGAACAGTTTAGATTTTAAAGTCTTCTACATGTTGTACATATTAGATACATTGTAGATATGAAATTGTACCCGAGTAAAATACTACTGGATGTTGCATCTTGTATTGAGGCATTACAAGCGATTTATTACTTCTTGCTTCAATGTGCATAAACAAATCCTACGAGTATAATCGTCTATTAAGAAAAACTGCAAGTACAAACAAACAACCATCTCAACAAGAAATGAAGTGTAAAGATCTAAAAAGTCCCAGGAAAAGTGTAGTCACGAGTGTCAAATGTTTATGTTTATTAAAAGAATCTTCATTGTCTTTACTAACAAGATAAACATTTACTGGTATTTGCTCTATAGATTAAACAAATCAAGATTTGCTGAAAGACAGATGCCATTAAATGGCTATCATCTAAATTTTCTTAAAAACTCGTAAACTTGCAAATTGTCCAGTCCATGCGAAATCCGCCCATACCTTCTTACTCGTACATCTTATATCTCCAACTATTACATTGTAAAATCGGCCAGTTTTGTGCACGCTTGTAGGGTCTTCTAGGATCTTTTGGTGCACCACAAAAAAGTAACTTTAATCTTGATATATTTTCTCTTATAATTATGATAATGTGATGTGTTTAATCAAAACAGTATGATTTTATATATTTTGTTACTCTTGCAGCAAATCTTGAGGTATTTTCAAAGTTTTATGTGCATCTGCTGCAATTGCGCCGTCAATGTGCGTTTTGGCGCTGTCATGCTTCAGAGCTTATTAGGTTATATTATAATGTTGTTTAACCATGTTAGGGCCTAAAGAAAAGGCTTTTTTATATTTTATTACTATAGAACATTTTATAGTTATGGTGAATTTAATTATAGAAAAATGACATTCAAACTTAATATGGACTGGGAGTGAGTATACTAAAGTTTAGATTTATCTTCTTTTTTTTTAAATTAACCTACAAATAGTGGATCTCAATCTCAAATGATTTCATTGTTTTCAAACGTTTGTCGGCCATGATGCATTTTCTAGTCGCTGGTGTCGCTTCACGTCTCGGATGCACGTAAAACTGTTTGTATTTAGTGAAATTAACTAGATCTAAGTATAATTAAGACACGGCTGTTCCAAACCGCAAAAGATACATATCATTATAATAGACTGCTAAATTTATAAGTGATTCGTAATTCTTTTTACTGTATTGTTGAATAATATAGTTAATTAGCTAATAATTATACACTATTGTATAAAAATCTTTCTATATACATGTTGTGTAATAATAAAATTATTATTAAATTTAGAATGGAGAACGGAAATAAACTGTGTGTTGTGGTATATTGTGTTTTATTACCTGTGTTCATCTTACGTCACCTCAAAAATAAACTTACTTGAAAATACTTCACTAAAAAGCAACATCATCTGACCCGTTTATGACTTAGATCACTTTTAAGTGTATCTAAAATATAAATCAATCTTTAATGTTACAATGCACCTTAATACAACCCTAGACCTTATGCCCGGTGCACACTTAGCCAGTACAATCGGACAGTTGCGATGGCCAGTCAAAGCTGTATGGACTTATTGGTACAAGTTTACGTTTACACAGTGCCACACTACTAGGACAATGTGACACTAACTGACGCTACGGAGTCTATTCAATTTATGACTGGCCGTCGCAACTGTCGAATACACTTCGATTGTTTTTAGTTTTGAAAACATTGGCCAAGTGGGCACCGCGCATAAATCGATGATTGAAAGACGTAATACCTATAATGTTCGGAGGGTTCGCGTTAGACGACTGCACACGGAGGACATCGCCATCACTTAAAGTATAGTTGACGAAAGCGTCAAGGCTAAAATGGGAGCATTTTATAAATAATGACTGTAAAAAGAAATATAAACATGATTCTCATCAAAAACACCAATTTTCAAAGTGAAATCAATAATGTTAAACCCTATTTTGTTTTCATAGAAATAACATTTCGGAATCGATGTGATGGAATCGATTTATTTCGACGTGCGACTGGCGCTAGTGTGTTATGCTGATACTACCTTAGCAATCTCTAGTGATTACTTGTTACAGTGAAGTGATGAGCTATAGAAAAAAAGATTACTGTATTCTACTCGTAGACATGATTCTCAACTAAAATTGAGGAGCTGCAAATCTGCTCACGGTTTACATGTGAATCTGAGCTATGAACGGGCTCGGGGTCCCAGACAATTGTTACCTGCACTGAGTTATGGTAGATTATAACTTTACGAGCTGCGAGTTACTGAGCAATACGAGATGGAAATATAAAAAAAACGATCTGTTTTAAAAACCCTCGAATGCATGATTAATCGTTCTACAACTCTGCGGCCGGTTTTTAACGCTGAGTTTTAATACATCGCGTTGAGTTGTGAGCTTCTTTAGTAGTTCTATGAATCAGAACTGTACACCACTATTTGCATTTGCACGCATGACATAATTTATAGTACTGTGTTTTACTGTTGTACGTTCATTCGTCTGGTATTTACTATAAAAGTAAATAATTTAGCTTAACCAGTAGTTGTACGTAACATGTGATAAATTAGTTCATTTGAGGTTTAAAATTTTTTGACAGCTGCAGATATAACATCAATCATTAATGAACGTTCATATCTGAATTGTTTTGGTTCCATTCACGTATATTGATTTACTGTAGCAAGTGACCTGTTTTTCTTACTTGAAAATGTGTCTCGTAAATAATTAATCATATCGTCATAAAGTGCTGAAGTGATTTAATGAAGTGCTAGATTTAAATCGGAACAAATGACAATCAAAATGTTGAATATAATGCTGTATAATTAGTGTGTGAAATTCAGAAAAAGAATTTTTATTTCGTTATGGTGTGCATGTTTCACAATGATGACACCTATTGAGGAGAAAAAAGATGATAAGGTAAATATTATTGTCAGTTTTGTATTTTTAGAAGGATGCGAGTATTTGTTAAACAATTTCTATTTTTGAAATATCAACTTATTTCTAAATTAATTTCAATTATTACAACACTAAAAGCTTTCTGAATAATATACAACCTTATAAAAGGATTATTGTTAGTATAGAATCTACTAATATTCTAGTTATCAAAATAACATTCTTATTAAATATTTTACTTTTAAAACATCTAAGTAAAAGTAACATATGATGTATTATTAATTGTGAAAAGAATTATGTAATTTAAACACTAAAGAATTTTGTTCTATTTGTTAATATTATTGCTGTATTTTTGAATTAATCAATGAACTTGAAAGTGTCTTACAATAAAGTAACAATTTACCGCTATATGTGACGTAAACGAGAATTGAAAACAATGCCTTTAAATTTCAGAGCACTAAAGCTGAATTTATACATTTCCAATATGTTTAACCACTTTAGTAAATGATTTGATAAATATTAATTCATTTTACATATTCCATTTAACTATTAATCTGGACAAAAAAAATTCCTAACTAGTTGCCAGTACCAAAATCTATATTATTATATCATTGGCTTGTAAGAAGATTAATTAGGAGATAAAAACACATTGTAATGTTAAACAGATAAATGTAATTGTTTATAAATAGCTAACACAAGTAATACAATGTCTGGATTTTGTTCATATTAACTGTACTATGTACACATTAATCTCAAGGGTTTCTAAAGATATTTACTATTGTTTTGCAATATAGAGCAGAAACCTATTACTTTTGTATGATAATAATACATTTCTATATGGATGATCTTAATGTATTATGTTTTTTCTATATGATTTTAGTTGCTTCATCATACAGTTGTCTCTTCTAGTCAATATCTCTTCTTGTTTGATTGTATTAACTAGTACAACACAGTGACCTAAACAGCAACTCTTAAGGCTCAAGGAAACCCGGTTTAACACAAGTTGTAATCAACTTCCATAAAAGTCCATTTCTATACAATGTTCAAGAGACCCTCGGTTGTGATTAGAGACATTTTTTATTCAGGTCATAATATCAAGTTTAAATAGGGTCTATTGCAACCCTATTTGAAGGGTATAAGGTTGATTTTTGTCTGAACCTCACATGTTCCAGATTTTTCAGTCCCTGTTAATGCCTCATTTGAAATTCAGTATCATACTTAGCGTTAATGCATTCCTAAACCTAGGACTTTGCGTATTTCGTAAAGTGAAAATCATGTTATATTTTTCGACATGTTATTATTATTTTGCACTTACTTAATTATTCTCTTGTCTAATAATGTCACAAAGGAATGAAAATGTAACTTTAATGCAAGTATAAATTCCATTGAAATACTAATGATTTTTAGAATAGCGCATTTGGAAAAGCCTTAGTACTTGACCTTTACTATCTAGACCTCGCGGCTAACTCTCGAGAATTCCATTTATAACTTTTTCGTCGCAAACTGTTCTGAATGTGCTTACGCTCATTGTAAGAAAAGACAGAGACCATTTATTAATATAAACAAGAAATGAGGAGACAATAGGAATATTTGATTACACTGTTTGAGACAATGTTTTGTTGATATTGTGAGTAAAGTGATGTATGAAGGCGTGTTGTGTGTCAGATCCGCATGGGCATGGTGCAAGTGTCGGACGGCAAGTCGCGGCCGCGGCCGGCGCGGCTGGTGCTCACCATGGACGCGGTGACGGTGCAGCGCCCGGCGCCCCCGCCCGCGCCGCTGCCAGACCGCACCGTGCCGCACGCCAGGGTACGTAACAGAACCCAAAACGGCAAATGAAACTGCAATAGACTAAAGACATAAAAAATAAAGCACGGAAAAAATAACCGTAAGCTTCAAGTGAACTTGACTCTTTAGCGTTGTAAATGCAATGATGAGGAGACATTTTTTTTTGGGAAGGTAATATACAGGTACCAATAAATTCAATTCTTATTATCACAACCACTAAACACCAAGTTGTACTTCATTATAAGTCCAATATCGTGCTTTTTCATAGTTTTTGTAGTATTAGAAGTTTTGTGCCTAAATTCTAGACTCAATTCGACGAACGAAGTTTTCAAGTAGGTACTCCAATACACTTCATATCGAAATTCTGTGGGTTTGTATTAGAATTTAATGTTGAATATTCTAAACCACAAAGCATTTTTTTTAACAAGATATGCAATGTAGAATTGCTGTTTTTGGATGTGTACATCGTTACGAACACGTATCTCTTGCTAGAAACAAGCATAATATGGTGTTGCGCCTCAGGAGCGGATGGTGCAGATCACACGGCAGAAGGTGGGAGGCCTTGGGCTGAGCATCAAGGGGGGCGCCGAGCACAAGCTGCCCATACTCATCTCAAAAATATACAAGGATCAGGCCGCGGACCAGACAGGGCAACTGTTTGTCGGAGACGCTGTCATTAAAGGTAATGTACCTTTATTCCTTGTCCTTAATTTCATATTAGGATAATTCAGTTAAGGTTTAAAAAGTGTAGAATTAATTGACCATAAATGAAATCTGTCTTTTAAGTAAGCATCACAAAATGTTAACGATTCACCCAACAACTAATTAGTTTATTCTACTACGCACTGTATTAACACACACGCAGTGCTATCGAATAACATAAGTACTTAACCTACTGACTAACAGACTTAGTGTGGCTTAAAGTGGCAAACCCGATGTGACCCCTTTTACTGTTCTATTCACATTCGTATTGCAACATTACATTTCATACAAACGCAATCTACATAGCAAGTGAACCGCAAAATGTTTGTATCGTTTCGAATGTTTTCCACATACAAATTAAACTTTTATTCCCTAATTTTTGTTTTTAAAATAAGGGAAATATTCGTATAAAGTTCATTGTGAAATAGAATTGGGGCATTAATAGAAGCTCTTTACAGATTTACAATACTTTTCGAAACAACGAAAAAAGTTAACTGGGTCCCCACTATAGTACTAGGTACTGAAATTTTTAGTTATTTTTCAACTTTAAACCGGCATTTGAAATTCTTTTTCGAAGCAGGGAAATTTTATTTTCAACGTATAGTGACAATTTAATTTTATATTTAATATCTGCAGTTATCGCTTGACCTAACCCAATTTAATGTTAATTGGAGATGAAATTATTATACAAGTTAAACATCAATTACGTTATTGAATTTAATGCTGTTTCGTCTACTAAAAATAATGGAATCTGCGGCAAGTGTTGGCATTTAAACGCAAAAGGTTTTTAACAAGCGCCTGCTGTTGCCGTGCCGCAAACGATCACTAGACTTGTTTGTGCACGCGATGCTGTGATAACTCGCATTTAATTAATTTTAAAACATTCTATTAAACACATTTGCGTCATTCATTTGGCCATATTTAACATTATTTGTTTTAAAATCAAGAAAACAAAGGATGCTTTCTCACTAATGTACCTATAGTTTCGTTCTATCGTAAAGAGATAACAGAGAAAGAAAGAATAGAAATCGGTCCTTTTGTCTCTTTTTTCTGCAATCATACGAGGATTCTTCATTCCTTAGTGATACTTCCACAATGTTGTGGGAATTCACGAATCTGATATAACGCGTGTGCAGTGAACGGGGAGTACATAACGGCGTGCAACCACGACGACGCCGTCAACATCCTGCGCAACGCCGGCGACATCGTCGTGCTCACCGTCAAGCACTACCGCGCCGCCACGCCCTTCCTGCAGAAACAAGGTGACCCTCGCCACCACCACCGACATTTAAATGTTGCTCTATGCTAACTTATTTGTTGCACAGGCTACTTAGATGGTTCTCGTACAAAGTATAAAAGTCTCGGTGGTTATGGTCGCAGCTGAGGCGGCGTCGGACACCGACAGCAGCACCGGCGACGACCACCCCTCGCATCACAACCATCACAACAACCACACCCCCGCTCTCGACGACAACTGCAACTCCGAGCGCGCAGACGACGCCGGATGGCAGGTGCGCATTACGCAACATTTACTATGAAACTCCTCATAACTTCAGGTTCATGTGAATTCTTAGGTCTCAAAAAAGAAAACGACTTATATCTGTTTTATCAATATATTTTACACATATTAAAAACATCTGCGCAACTGTTTAATACATTATTTATGTATGTGATCGATATACCAGAGTGCTTGGAGCGCGGAGGAGGGCAGCCGGCCCGCCTCGCGCCCTCCCTCCGCCGCCTCCGCGCA